TAAATTTGAGTTGGAAATATTAGAACTCGCCGTGGCACCTCCAAGAAGGTTACACGTTCACGCGTCGTATACCTGGAAACATTTTAAGATAAACTTAGAGGGATTGATATATTTCGTATGCCTAGCGCGCAGACGAGATTTTATAATTTAATAGTTTTAAACGGCCTAAATACCTTAACTCGCTTAAAAAATAACGAGCTATAACGAAATGGGCACAGAAATAAAATCTAACATCATTAAATTATTTTTCCTATTTGTATAAAAGCGCGGGGTGAAACCCGCGGGTATAAGCTAGTTTATATTTATTTTTAATATTTTTATTGAGCTTTGTACCACGATTGTTTATTAGGAAAACATTGACCAATTGGAAATTTGCATGAAAATTTATTGAAATTTCCAGAGTTTTGAACAGTTTAGAAATTATATTTTTATTTTTTTTTTATTGTAGTATGAACTATATTTTTATAAAAAATAGCAAAAAAAATTAAAATAAAAAATATTGTATATCGACATTGTGAAAAACCCTATGTGAAAATATATTTTTTTAATCCAGTGAAATTAATTTATGTTTAAAACTTTTTCTTTCTTTATTGAAAAATAATAAATTATAAAAAACCATTTCTTTTATTACTGCAAAAAAAATATTTTTGGTGCTCTCAAAACCGGTTTGGTACGTTTTTTGGTAGTTTCCCGCCACTATGGATATAAAATATTTAGAACCTTTTTGGGTATGCAGTTTTATAGCCCATAAAATTTTAGTACAACAAAGTGCAAGTCAGCCAAAGAAAAAATATTAAAAATCAAAGCAATTGAAACTTGCACTTTATTATACTAACATTTTATCAGCTATACAACTGCATCTTCCTTTCAATGAACTTCAGAAAAAGCGATGTTTTGCAGTGAGCCAAGCAGAAAAAGTATCAAAAGCAAACACAACTGTTAATTTTTACACTTTTATTTGGAAAACCAATAATAAATAAAATTTTATAATTAAATCGGTAGTTATAAAAAAAATGTTATATTACTTTCTTCAACAAAAACAGAGAATACGCAAGCTTCCTGGCATAACGAAAAACTTATAGGGCCCCTAAAGCACACAAAATTACTACACAACAAAATTGCGCAAACCGTATTTTGGAGAAACGTTTCTCAAGTAAATATATTTCAGCTTTAGAACGCAAAAAAGAATATTAAAAAAAAGAAATTCCTACGCCCATATTTTACAGCACGATCTGGACACCAAAATGTCAACACTAGATTAAAAATTTCGCAGTTGTCTTCATACGCAGCACAAATTATTATACAATAACACAAGCATGAACATAATATCAAAATGATTTTGATTTTAGTGGAATGACTGTGCAATGTAGTACAAACAACCCCATACACCACTCAAACGACCGACGCAAACCCGATATTTTTGTATGGTTTAGGGGCCCTGTTTGGTCAGATGCATAACACTGTGGCTGCTCAAAGTACTTACGCTCGTACATATGGATGTTCATCAGCCGCTTCGAATTCAACCCTAGCACAAGTCACTTACAGACATATGTAAGTATTTTCAAACTTGTGTGCTTAAATAATTTCGCTTTTACTAATTACATACACATGCTTTTGTTAATTATATACTTACGCTTACATTTTACGGTGCATTCTTCTATTGTATATGCACATACTCGGCTACTTATATAATTATGAATTTGTTATTACCTTTTTTCACTAGAAGTCATACCAGGAAAATATTACGGGATCATTCCCATAACTTGTACATGATTTTGCTTAAGAATAAATAGATCTTAAGCGCATAACTGTTGATGAAAAACCTCACTTGAAATAAAGAAAACGGACTGTCAGCGACGAAAGTGTTTTTTTTTCTTAGCTGGAACAAAGTGGCAACCGTGAGAGGACTTGTCACCATATTACTTGTCCTGTCTAAGAAAAGCCAAAGGAAATCTCAATCCATTTCTTTTGACGTTCGTTCGGAGTTTTTTCATCGCACTTGGCATCCTGCACACAAACCTGGGATCATCAGCAGCGTCCGAGGAAGCTGTTGGAGGCAGTGTAGCTGGTGCATCAAATCTTGCAACAATTGCAAATTATCTCTGCTAAGTACAGTATCAATCATCTTTACTTGCCACTCAACATTGTCGTCGCAGCTGAAGAGTCATTACCAGGGAACGGATTTTTAGGACCTAAAAACCTATAAAAAAGGCAAAATAAAGTAACGAAATATGCTGGAAAAGGCAAAATAAAATAGCGAAAAAGGCAGGAAAAGGCACTAGGTATTGCAAAAAAGCAAAATAAGGCACTAAAAAAGACAGAAAATACGAAGAACCATCAAAAAATACATTTATTTTAGAAATGTTTATATTACAAGTAAAAAGAGAAAAACTATGAACTAGTTTCATTATATGAAAAATTTGTACTTTGAATCTTTGACTATTTTATCCTTTCGAGTTTCTAACTCATAAAACTTTAATCTGTATAGTTGTAGTAACATTGAACCACAAGATGCATTTTGAAGTTTTCTGGCAGCATTTTCATTCGATTTTCGCGAAGAAAAGCCTTGAATGTACTTGATGTGTGCTCGAAGTAAGTTGGTACAAGTAAAGCCCAATTTAAATATGGAACGTTTGAAACGTTCATATTAGCAGGAACAAGGGCGTTTTCCTCGCCCTTTACAATTTTACCCACGCCCCTTATTGTCTCCAAGCAAACGTTTGCTGAGAAAACGGCTTTGAATTTTTTCAACACCAATTTGGCAAGAGGTCCCTGCGCTTCTATAAGCCGCATGGGCATGAGTATATTTTTTAATCTAAAAAAAAAAAAGATTGTAAATGCTAAAAAAAATATCTTAAAAAAGGTAAAAAAGGCAAATATCTTAAAAAAGGCAAAAAAAGGCAACATCAAATGTGTATATATGGAATCAGGGAAAGCTAAATCGTGGACATTCTTAATCGAATATACTCTATCTCTTTAGCAGAAAAAAAGGCAATTTCCATAAAATCCGTTCCCTGGTCATGACATTTCGCTATATTTCGTCGTAGAAAAGGTATCACCCTACAACAATAAGCATCCCGCAGCCTTGCAGTTCCTAAGTAATCTGCGGTCAGTCAGTCAGCCAATTGTCGCTATCGTATACATTTGCACAACTCACTACATACTATATTTTTCCTTAAATCTACTATTACTACACCTTTTCAAAACTATCATCTCCATAGCTAAGCAGTATTCATCAAAATGGTTAGCAATAGTCCGAAAAGCATGCGCGAACTCTCTGACGAGGATCAGGTGCATCTATGTTCTCTTAGGAAAATGAGTTCAATTATCATTCGCAACATACTCAGCATGAAACAACGAATAAGCGACGAAGAGGGTGAAATTGATACCTCTGTCCTTGAATGTCGTTTGCAAATTGTTGAATCGTACTTTCAACGGATTTCCGAGGTGCATAACAATGTTGAAATCCTAGTCCTTACTGATGTTTCGAGAACGGAGATTGAAGAAATATACATTGAAGCAAAATCGAAACTCTTGTCGTTAATCAATTCCAGAAGCCGCGCGACCGAATTTAATTCTAGTGTGTTCAATGCTACATCATATATAAGCAATCCTCATCAAAACCGTCTACCAACACTTAAATTGCCGAAGTTCGATGGAAAGTATGCGAACTATAAACGCTTTTTCCGCGCATATTCCAACATGGTGCATGATGACCCACAATTCCTAAGGTTGACAAATTCAATTATCTCTGAAACTGTCTTTCAGGACCAGCCTTAAGCGTCATCGAGCCATTTCAGGTAACAGAAGAGAACTACCCGAAAGCTTTGCAGCGACTTAAGGAACGGCACGACAACAATGTGCTGATCTTCCGAGACTATATCGCATCACTTTTTGGTATTCCAGTTATGAAAACTTCGGACGCTGTTACCTTGCGGAACATCATCGATACCGTTGCAGCACTTCGAGAGTATCTTCATTCACTGGGATCATAAAAAGACTTCGTGAATTCAATGCTCATTTATATTGTTTTATCTACATTAGATTCGGATTCGAAATCGGCCTATAACCAAAAGCAATGATTTGAAGCTCTGCCATCGTGGGACGATTGCTACAAATGGTTGAGTCGTCATTGCCAATACTTAGAGATCTGTTCCAAAAAAGACAATTGAAAGGCATCCCCTCGGGACGGCAAACTCAATGGTAAGCGAACTGCTAATTCTTTCGTCAGTGCTAAGTCTAGTTGTTTGCATTGCAAACACGTAGAACATAGCATCAACAATTGCTCATCGTTTCTATCTTTATCAGCCACGCAACGCTTCGATTTCGTGAAGCAATCCGGAGCTTGTATTAACTGTTTGCGAACGGGGCACATGGTGTCCAAGTGCCCATCGCACTCTCGTTGCCGTGATGTAATACCAACAGCCTTAATCCACATCCAAGATAAATTTGGTCTAATTCAGCCAGCACGCGCCCTGTTGGATTCATGTTCAGAGTTAAATTTCATAACGGAAGTAACTGCTAAACGTTTGCAACTTAAGAGAAACTCATCAACTCTGGAAGTGTCAGGTATTTCAGACATTCAAACTAATATAAAATTTGCTAAACGCGACAATCAAATCTCATATTGGAGATTTTACTTGGTCATCCCATTTCGCCATAACAAAACGTATTTCCGCACAAGAACCATATGAGCTCAGTGACACATCTTATTGGAACATTCCCCCCGTAATCCAGCTTGCTGCTGTTGCCATTGTTTTATAATGTCATTTAAAATGCAACATTTAGCACTTTCGAACATATGTTTTCAAAGAGCGTTCATGCTATCGCATTTAGCAAATGTGCATTTACGCGAGCTCGATATCGTATGCTTTTGACAAACAGCCGTGATCCAGTCGCTTATTCAGATCCGCATCTATCACTATCAATTCTCACGGAGAAGATAATGTGCAAAAAATTCTACTGAAAGGGAAAAATTTAATTTTAAACCAAAAATTCAGTACTAAAACTTGAATTGGTTAAACCATAACCGAAAATTTGTTAGTGTATATATTCATTTGTCGGTGCTGTTAATTAAATATTCCTCACTTAATTAGGAAACAAAACAAACAGAGCTGATCACAAATTGATCCAGATTTCTATCAGCTTCACTACTTAGACTGCTACGCCTGGCTGGTCAGGCATGCGGTCGTACGAACAAGATGAATACAACTAAAAATGAACAACAAAAGCAAAATCAAGGTACAAACAAGCAACAACAACAAGCTAACAACAACAGCAACTACAAGACTAGGAACACAAATAGCACAAAAGCAGTCAGTCCGGATCGACGACCTCGCGCGACTCCGTGAAGAACGAGAAGGGACGCCACTTGGATAGAAGGGCGAATCCACCAACTCTTCCTCCCGCAGGGAAACCCGGTTCGCTGTCCGACCCCAGGAGGTTGGGGCTTAGTGGCTCCGGGGCGAGGCACTATGTGAGATACATTGAACAAGGCAAGACTCCCGAGGTAGCTAGGGAGCTAGCTCTCGCTAGATCGGCCCCACAAGGGTCGAGTAAGCGGGACTCTGAGCGCTACGACAGTACGACCGCACCCGCGAATGAGCGGAAGAGCGGGCATCAGCAGCAGACCAGGCAGTATGGCTCTCGCGAACAGACCGCACCCGCCGCTGGGCGGAAGAGCGGGCATACCAGCGAGGGTCATAAACCGGCGCCCGCTGAGAAGCGGAGTGACGGACAGCACCTTGCTAAGGGTGGTAGGCACGACAGGCACACTGGCGAGACCGCACCCGCTTACAAGCGGAAGAGCGGGCATAGTCGCTATGATGAGAGGTACAGAAACCAGGACAACAAGGTGGAGGGCTCCGGTGAGACCGCACCCGCGAAGCGGAAGAGCGGGCAGTTAACACCAAACACTCCGGCCCCAAAGAAGCAGCGGGAGTATCCACCCCCTCCAACATCGGGACCCGGGGGTAAGCATCTGGAGCCAGCGGCTTCTCAGGGTGGAGTAGGGCAAACGCCTAGCTACTCTGATGCACTAAGGGGCATAAGGGTTGCGGTGCTGCCTTGTGACTACCCTGCGGAGGCGCTGAGTCCGGATGAGCTAACTGCCCTACAGGACGCCATAATGGACGAGGTGTTCAAAGGGTGGACGCATCCGCTTGCATTCCGCGGGGTGTACTACCGTCCAGGCATGCTCCTGGTAGATTGCAAAGATGAGAACACGGCTAAATGGCTAGAGGAGGTCACACCGAAATTAGGCAGTTGGAAGGGGCCCTGCTGTGCGTGAAACGGGGAGATGATATCCCAACCATGCACAACATGACCATCTTCCCGCCGAGAAGTGCTGACAAATCGTCAGACTATGCGTTAGGGCTGCTAAGGGCGCAAAACGGGGGTCTCAACACCACAGCGTGGCGCGTAATCTCAAGCAGCATAGAGGACAACGGCCTGCGTTTGAACGTCGGCATTGATGAGGCCTCATTTAGCAATGTCCGAAGGGCGGGGTACAAGCTGAACTACAGGTTCAGTTTTGTCACCATGCGGCCTTGGCGACCGAAGGCTGCGGAAGAGAAGGAGGGAGGCGAGGAAGCTATGCAGGTGGATGGAAGTCTGCCGGCTGAAGCAACCTCACAGGCAACCACTTCAGGTGAGGGCGCGCAGTCCTCTGAGCCGACACCTCTGGCCCAATCTTCCGACGAACGAGGTACCAATGTGCGAGATACAGCAGCTCTTATACAGGGGCAAGGCCCCTCTATGCAGGAGCTGCTCGAGGGTATTAATTTGAGGAGGCTAGAGCTTGACAGAGGAAGCGAGAGCGAACTAAGGCTCTCGGACCTGGAAGAGCAATTATAAGGCACCCACCGCCCTTGTCAGTAGCCCAGATCAACCTGCACCACGCGGTTGCGGCCTCGGCTGTAATTGTAAGCAGGTTTTCTACGGACGATCAGGACATAGTACTGATTCAGGTGCCGTGGACATACAAGGGCCAGGTAAGGGGCCTCAAAAGAACACACAGTAAGGTAATATGGGACCTCTCCGTTGAGAGGCCTAGAGCATGTGTAATGGTCAGGAATGATATCGATTTTTTCTGCATTACAGAGTTTTTAAGCCAGGATCTGGTAGCAGTACAAGCGACGCTTTGGGTGGAAGGAAGACCCAGGAACATAGTGTTTGCTGCCGCATACTTTCCGGGGGATAACCACAGCATTCCCCCTGCAGAGGTACAAGACCTGGTGGAGCATTGCAGAAGAGCCCGACTTCCTTTAATCCTCGGTTCCGATGCGAATGCCCACCACGTTGAGTGGGGCAGCACCGACATCAACAAACGGGGTGAGTCCTTACTTGAGTACATTCTAAGTGAAGATCTGTATATAAACAATGTTGGGCAATGTCCAACATTTGTCACTAGAGCCAGGCAGGAAGTCCTTGACCTGACTCTCAGCAACGATCTGGGTAATAATCTGATTGGACAATGGTGGGTGTCTTCGGAACCCTCCTTGTCCGACCACAGGATTATCCGCTTCTTGCTGGGAGTGCAGGCCAGAGCAGGGATTCCGAAGAGGAACCCCAGGAACACCGACTGGGAAAAGTATAGGAAATTACTAGATTTTAACCTACCTGGGTTAGAGAGGGACCACAAAAAAGGCGGCTGTATGGCATTAGAGCATAAAGTTAATAGGCTAACAGATATAATTACTGATGCCTTTAACTATAGCTGCCCCGAGACACAACCAAGGGGGAAAGGGAAAACTGTGTGGTGGTCTCGGGAACTCTCATCCATCCGGAAAGACACGCGCAGGCTGTTCAACAGGGCTAAGCGCACAGGATGCTGGGCAGAGTATGCGGTTAGTCTAACAAAGTACAGCAAAGAGATTAGGAACGCGAAAAGGGAAAGTTTCAGAACCTTCTGTGAAGGTATTTCGAATACCCCGGCCGCTGCGAGGTTACATACGGCTATAGCCAAAGGAACTATTGAATCGGAGCTTGCGCTTAAGCTCTCAGATGGCACCTACACCAACAGTAGAGAGGAGAGGGCCATCGCCCTGATGCTAGCACACTTCCCGGAGGCCTCTAATCTGATGGAGGAGCTGGAGATCCAGCGATCTAGGCCGCGACCATCTGATTGGAGACTGGCGAGAGGTATTTTCACTCAGTCTTCAGTCGGATGGGCGCTAGGCTCGTTTGAGCGGTACAAGGCTCCGGGGGTAGATGGCGTCCGGCCAGTGATGTTACAGCAGGGCGGTGAGAGTGTAATACCGCATCTCGTGGACATAATGAGAAGCAGTCTGGCAGAAGCGTATGTCCCACGGTTGTGGCGAAGGGCGCGAGTAATCTTCATCCCGAAAGTGGGTAAAAGGGACTACTCGCTAGCGAAGTCGTTCAGACCAATAAGCTTAACCTCCTTTGTGTTAAAAGCAATGGAGAAGATTTCAGATAACCACATTAGATCAACCATTCTGAGGGATATACCCCTGCACTCCAGTCAGCATGCATACAGGGCTGGAAGGTCCACGGACACAGCCCTGTACCAACTGACAACCGAGATTCAGGGGGCCCTCGAATGCGGTGAATCAGTGCTCTGCGCCTTTCTCGATATAGAGGGCGCATTTGACAACACGTCACACTCTGGAGTGCGCAGGGCATTGGAGAGGAGAAACGTGCAGTCAGCGATCTGCAATTGGGTGGATGCGCTCCTGCGTACAAGGATAGCTGAAATCGAGGTAGGGGACAGCGTGGTACAATTTCAGACAACAAAGGGTTGCCCGCAGAGAGGAAACTTATCACCCCTTCTGTGGAGCCTAGTGGTGGATGAACTTCTTCAACTTCTCTCTGACAATGGTATCCGCTGCCAAGGCTATGCGGATGATATAGTGATTATTGACAGGGGGAAGTTCGAGAGCACCCTCTGCGACATCATTCAAAGAGGCTTAGGCATCACGAAGGGATGGTGCAACAAGTTAGGACTTATCATAAATCCTGCCAAAACCGCCGTCATTCCTTTTACTAGGAGAAGAGCCCTTCCGGGCATGAGGAACATAACCTTGGAGGGGGTCGCGGTTTGCGTCGCCAGCGAAGTGAACTATCT